GATATCGAAACTTGATGAGCCTAAATTTGTGATTCCTAAATATGATGCTGCGCAGCAAAGTACACCTAAATATGATGTTCCTAAATTTCAATCAACAAAATCGTTGCTTGGAACGCCTACACCGGTTATTCCCAAATATGAAGCATTTCAGCCATCGTTATCGAAACACAATCTTCAAAAACCTCAATCAATTTTAACGAAGTACGAGCTCTCAAAACCAGTAATTGCCAATCCCGATATTCCACGGCCATTTGCGCCCAAATATGAATATAATAAACAAGATTCGGTAACAACAAAATATCAAGTCTCTAAAAATCAGTTTACAAATTCTGAAAGCCCGAAGCCATTTTCTTTCAAACATGATACTTTTAAGACGCAAATTCCATCATTTGCAACAGCGTTGCACACAGTTCAACCAGAAATAAGGGAGCACGATACTCACGAGATTTCAAAACCAGATGTTCCAAAATACGAAATCTTCAAACCAAAACCAATAACAGGCAAACAGGTAGACCCTAGGTCAGAGGTAACAAACTATGAAACTTTGAATCTTAAATACGAAACTCAACAAATTCATCCCTTGAAACAAAAATTACAAGAACAAACACAAATAATATCAAAAAATGACATATTCACGTACGACAAATCTAAGCCACCTAAGACTGGCGAATTAAGAGAAGACGGCTATCATTATGAAATACCACAAAAGATTTTTGAAATTGCTAAGCCCGTAATACCTGCAACTCAAACAGGACAACAAAAGCTGAAGAATGAATATTCTCAATTAGTTTCTCAGTTCACAACCGCCCTTCCAGATATCACTACAAAAACTGTGCACGTAGTTACATCAGCAAAGCCACATCCCTTATCACAATCGGCAGTTCCATTGGAACCTGTTTCACCTGCATTTGCGTTGCACACAAATACTACTAAGAAAACTGTGGTCATAACGCCAAAGCCAAAGATTGAATACGCACCGCCAGTGACGCAAGAAGTGCATGCATTTATATCTTCGTATAAACCAGATAAGGTAGCCGTGAGAAATGAACATTTCCCACCTCTTGTTCAACAAAATATTAGGTCCGACACAATAGAGATTACTCCAACTCATAAGCCTATTGCTTTAGTTACACCGCAGAAGCCTGCTCGTCCGATAAAAATTGCTGACGAACATTCGTTACCAAACTATTTACATACTCTTGATAACGTACAGCCTAAATACAAACCAATCTTGACACCTGCAAAAACTACTGATGCACAAAAACCACAAGCGCCAACTAAAATCGCTAATGATAATTTACCGCCAAAAAAGCAAATTGCTAGCCAATTTAAAGTTCAACAGACCCCATTGCCGTTTGCAGCGCCTACCATTCCCACGTTAGCACAAATTTCTGTTGGCACAACGGTTCCTTTTATAGCAAAGGAATCCATCATAACTATCAAACCTTTTCCACCTGCTAAAGTTATTAATGAATATTTACCGCCACAACAACTAGTTGTCCCAGATAAAGAGCAGGCAACGCAACGACCAATAGCTGCTACAACACCCGTCTACAAGCCTATCTCAAAGGTTGCACAATTTATCAGGATAACCACAAAACCAGAAGTCCCCGGTAAACTCACTAATGAATATTTACCACCACAATCTGTTGTTCCGACTAAATTAGGGTTAACCCAACGGCCAGTGATAGCTGCAACGACGCCCGCCTACAAGCTCTTCTCAGAGGTTACAAGCTATTCAAAAAAACCACAAATCTCCACCAAATATACAAATGATTATTTATCACCACAGAAGCCAGTTACTCCAGTGAAACTAGAGCCAACAGAACGACCACTAACAGTTGCTACATTTCCCGCCTACAAGCCTATATCCGAGGTTACAAAGTTTTCGAATACACCAAAGAAACCTGAAGTCCCTGTCAATTTTACAAATGAATATCTACCACCAGTGAAGCCGGTCGGCCCACTTATAGTACAACCAACCCAGCGGCCAGTAATTCCTACAACAACCGCCTACAAGCCTATCTCGGAGGTTACAAAATTTGTCAATACACCAAAAATACCGGAAGTTCCTGCCAAATTTAGCAATGAATATCTACCACCAGCGAAGCCGGTCGTCCAACAGAAAGTAGAAACAACCCAACGACCAATAATAGCGGTTACAATACCCGCCTATAGACCCGCATC